CAGTATCCGCCATGTCAGTCAGTCTGTATAGATATATAATATAGATAGATATAGAGATATATCCGTACAGTCTGTATCTATATATAATACAGTGAGATAGCACACAGTGACTCAGTATCCGCCATGTCAGTCAGTCAGTATAGATATATAATATAGATAGATATAGAGATATATCTGTACAGACTGTATCTATATATAATACAGTGAGATAGCACACAGTGACTCAGTATCCGCCATGTCAGTCAGTCAGTATAGATATATAATATAGATAGATATAGAGATATATCTGTACAGACTGTATCTATATATAATACAGTGAGATAGCACAGTGTGACTCAGTATCCGCCATGTCAGTCAGTCAGTATAGATATATAATATAGATAGATATAGAGATATCTGTACAGTCTGTATCTATATATAATACAGTGAGATAGCACAGTGTGACTCAGTATCCGCCATGTCAGTCAGTCAGTATAGATATATAATATAGATAGATATAGAGATATATCCGTACAGTCTGTATCTATATATAATACAGTGAGATAGCACACAGTGACTCAGTATCCGCCATGTCAGTCAGTCAGTATAGATATATAATATAGATAGATATAGAGATATATCTGTACAGTCTGTATCTATATATAATACAGTGAGATAGCACACTGTGACTCAGTATCCGCCATGTCAGTCAGTCAGTATAGATATATAATATAGATAGATATAGAGATATATCTGTACAGTCTGTATCTATATATAATACAGTGAGATAGCACACAGTGACTCAGTATCCGCCTTACATGTCAGTCAGTCAGTATAGATATATAATATGATAGATATAGAGATATATCTGTACAGTCTGTATCTATATATAAGACAGTGAGATAGCACACAGTGACTCAGTATCCGCCATGTCAGTCAGTCAGTATAGATATATAATATAGATAGATATAGAGATATATCTGTACAGTCTGTATCTATATATAATACAGTGAGATAGCACACAGTGACTCAGTATCCACCATGTCAGTCAGTCAGTATAGATATATAATATAGATAGATATAGAGATATATCTGTACAGTCTGTATCTATATATAATACAGTGAGATAGCCGTTACTTCGAAAGACCCTCAGCATCCATGTCAGTCAGTCAGTATATATATATGATAGATATAGAGATATATCTGTACAGTCTGTATCTATATATAATACAGTGAGATAGCACAGTGTGACCAGTATCCGCTTACGTCAGTCAGTCAGCATAGATATATAATATAGATAGATATGAGATATATCTGTACAGTCTGTATCTATATATAATACAGTGAGATAGCACAGTGACCTGCATCCGCCTATGTCAGTCAGTCAGTATAGATATATAACATAGATAGATATAGAGATATATCTGTACAGTCTGCACTATATATAATACAGTGATGATATACCACAGTGACTCAGTATCCGCCATGTCAGTCAGTCAGTATATATATATAATATAGATAGATATAGAGATATATCTGTACAGTCTGTATCTATATATAATACAGTGAGATAGCACAGTGTGACTCAGTATCCGCCATGTCAGTCAGTCAGTATAGATATATAATATAGATAGAAATAGAGATATATCTGTACAGTCTGTATCTATATATAATACAGTGAGAAAGCACACAGTGACTCAGTATCCGCCATGTCAGTCAGTCTGTATAGATATATAATATAGATAGATATAGAGATATATCTGTACAGTCTGTATCTATATATAATACAGTGAGATAGCACACAGTGACTCAGTATCCGCCCTGTCAGTCAGTCAGTATAGATATATAATATAGATAGATATAGAGATATATCTGTACAGTCTGTATCTATATATAATACAGTGAGATAAAGCACACAGTGACTCCGCATCCAGCCTGTCAGTCAGTCAGTATAGATATAATATAGATAGATATAGAGATATATCTGTACAGTCTGTATCTATATATAATACAGTGAGATAGCACAGTGACCTCAGTATCCGCCATGTCAGTCAGTCAGTATAGATATATAATATAGATAGGATATGATATATCTTGTACAGTCTGTAATCTATATAATACAGTGAGATAGCCATTGAAAGTGTGACTCAGTATCCCATGTCAGTCAGTCAGTATAGATATATAATATAGATAGATATAGAGATATATCTGTACAGTCTGTATCTATATATAATACAGTGAGATAGCACAGTGACTCAGTATCTGCCATGTCAGTCAGTCAGTATAGATATATAATATAGATAGATATAGAGATATATCTGTACAGTCTGTATCTATATATAATACAGTGAGATAGCACAGTGACTCAGTATCCGCCATGTCAGTCAGTCAGTATAGATATATAATATAGATAGATATAGAGATATATCTGTACAGACTGTATCTATATATAATACAGTGAGATAGCACAGTGTGACTCAGTATCCGCCATGTCAGTCAGTCTGTATAGATATATAATATAGATAGATATAGAGATATATCTGTACAGTCTGTATCTATATATAATACAGTGAGATAGCACAGTGTGACTCAGTATCCGCCATGTCAGTCAGTCAGTATAGATATGTAATATAGATAGATATAGAGATATATCTGTACAGTCTGTATCTATATATAATACAGTGAGATAGCACAGTGTGACTCAGTATCCGCCATGTCAGTCAGTCTGTATAGATATATAATATAGATAGATATAGAGATATATCTGTACAGTCTGTATCTATATATAATACAGTGAGATAGCACAGTGTGACTCAGTATCCGCCATGTCAGTCAGTCAGTATAGATATATAATATAGATAGATAGAGAGATATATCTGTACAGTCTGTATCTATATATAATACAGTGAGATAGCACACAGTGACTCAGTATCCGCCATGTCAGTCAGTCAGTATAGATATATAATATAGATAGATATAGAGATTGATTGATAGATTGATTGACAGGAGGGGGCGGGGTTACCTGTGCCCGGGGCGGCTGTCTCTCAGCTGTTTCACCCGGCGGGAGCCGCCATCACTGCGCCGGGAGACACGCCCAGTCCGCGACGTCGACGGGGAGCAGACCCCGCCCACTTCGTACGGCACCACGCCCTGCAGATCCCGCCTCAGATCGACCACGCCCACTCCGGCTGCTGTAATACGCTCAGGACTGGCACGCCGCACCCAGTCACTGCGCCCCGCCTACTTTACGGCTGAGTTGCCCCGCCCAGTGAGCCTCTCAGAGCGCTAAACACCGGAGACACAGGTATGGTTTTAGAATCCAGGGAGGAGATCGTGGTTAATAGGGCGGGGACTGTCTATGGTGTATGCAGCGATTTCTCTCTAGTGCTTTGCTCTCTGCCTGTATATAGATACAGACTGCTCTCTTCAGTGTTTAGCACTCTAATATGAGGGACCGCCCATAATAGTGACGTCACCAGTGACGGATTGAAAAAGGCGGGAAAAAAGCCGAAACCGAGAGAGAAAGAGACAGGGCGGAGATAGTGAGTGAGTGAGTGAGTGAGTGAGTGAGTGAGTGAGTGAGTGAGTGAGTGAGTGAGTGAGTGAGTGAGAGACAGACAGACAGACAGGGCGGAGATAGTGAGTGAGAGACAGACAGACAGACAGACAGGGCGGAGATAGTGAGTGAGAGAGAGACAGACAGACAGACAGGGCGGAGATAGTGAGAGACAGACAGACAGACAGGGCGGAGATAGTGAGAGACAGACAGACAGACAGGGCGGAGATAGTGAGTGAGAGAGAGACAGAC